TGTTCCGTCGTCGCGATGTGTACACTCCGCCGCAGACGTCGTCGCGGGATCCTCATTAGTTTCTCAGAGCGCGTATTTTTGCGGCGAGGCGGGGGGCGGGGAGGGCCAGGAGCAAGGGGCATTTGCACGCTCTTAACGACGCTGACGTCAAGGCCCGCGAGGAGATTCGTCACAAATTGCTTTGGCACTCCGCCGCCGCCCCCTTCTCGGTGCCGCTTGGTGAGACACGCCGCCATACGCCCTGGCACGCCACGGCCCGCCACGGCCCACCCAGTCTGCGCGACCCGGAGGACGGCTGGAGCGTAAACGCTTTATTGAAGAAAATTCCTTGGGTGGGGGGCTGCTCGACCGGAGTGGTGGTTTGGGGTGCCAAGAGGTGCTTCTGTAGGAGCCAGCCGCCGATGGTTCAAAAATCGCTGGCAAAGTAGAAGCGGGTAAGGGATCGTCCAGGAAGTACGTCCATCATTCGCCGTTACAAACCTGTCAAATTCAGCCCAGCTAGCTATCATGACGCCCAATAGGTAGGCAACATTTTGTCTTCGGTGCATGCGTGTACAGTGGGAGGCCTACCCTCACCCTCGCAGGCGTCGAGCTCCCGTCGTTAGCCGAACGAATCTGAGAAAAACGGACCTACTTTCTGGACGGTCCCTAATCGGGACGAGGGGGTGCGACGGGTTGATGAAACCCGGAGCCCCCACACCACGGGATGCTGGCGATGCAGGTTATTGTTTCCTGGGGGTGAGCGGGGACCTGCACCCCACCACCCTTCGCCGCGCATTATTGCTCTCGCAGTGCCCTTGTCGCCTTCCCCGTAGCTAAACGCTAAACGAGTGTCGCTCTCTGTTGCAGACCGCCAAGACGAAGGCAGAGGCGCGGATAGAATGCTTGAGGAAAGGAGGAGGTAAGTACAAGAGCGGAGCGTCGTTAGGGTGGGCTATGTAGACGAGCGGGGTGGACGGGACGTGAGCGTGACGAGCTTGGACAATGTTTGCAGTGAACGTCGACGAGTGGCTGGAGGAGGCAGACTATCTGGATCCCAAGGACGTGCCCCGCTCCACCAGCTCGCTGTCGGTGCACACGGACGCGTCCGGCACAGGGGTGAGTCTATGGGCGCGACAATTCAGAGGCTCTTTCTAATTTTGTACTTGATTATGGTGGCCGAGCCGTAACTCCGAACACGCTCTGCAGGAGCCGCACAGCTCGGACTTCTACGACTCGGACTACACGGACGCGGAGGGCGAGCGCGGCGGATCGCACGCCGGCCGCTCCGGCAGCACGTCGGGCGCGGCCGGCGCGTCCGCCTCCGGGGCCGCGGGCTCGGGGGCCGCAGCGGGCCGCGACTACGACGACGACGAGGAGGAGCGGCCCGACTCCACTGAGGTGGACGGTGAGTGGGGTACGTCTCAGCGAGCCGAGCGCAGCGCCTGTAGCGCGCGCTCCAACACTAACGACTGCAGTGCACTGGCATCTCCAGTGTTCTAAACTATGGTTATCTTTTCCAAGTGTGTAACACCACACGCGCTGCAAACTTGCCAGAAAAAAAAATCAACAACAAAAAAACGCGCGTATTTGTTGTGGGACAGACAAGCGTATTATACTCTCATGCATTTCAGAAGGAGTAGCCCAGTTTTCAAAACGAGAAAAATATTCTCACGCGCGTCCTGAGAACATTTATTTTGGACCTGCACGGAGAATATTTATTTCTTAATCCAACCTAGCGCTTGGATGAGAGCACTGTACTGCCTCGAGTTCTCAATGCAAGTGTCTTAAATCGGACTCACTTCGTAAAGAAACGCTTTTAATCTGAAAATGGGGAACTGTATTTCTGGGGGTGCTGAGACAAAAGTGTCGGACACGTGTGGATGCAGCGTGTACGTCCATGGGACGAGACGAGCTTTTTGCCCGTCCCGAACACTACTACTTGAGAGGTGACTGGTGGCCACACATGGTGGCCACCAGCCTCCGCCCGCCGTGTCTCGGACCCTGCTTGACCAAGCGTCCCGAACGGCGTATGCGGAGCCCCTTGAGCTAATGAGTGCGTGGTGGCAAACAGGACGACGGGGGCCGACGGAGACGGAAAGCGGTGCGGACGGAGCACGTAAGTGAAGTCCGAGAGCGCTTGCGCAGAGCTGTGCTCGTGCTCGAGCTGCGCCATGTAACCGCGAGCACTTAGGAACCCTTCGGGGAGCCCCGCGCAGTGACCCGCTCCGCCCGTGCTGGTATATATCGTGTGTGTGTATGTGTGTAATTTGCAGTTGAAAGCCTTTTGCCCGTGGAGTAACTTTTGCGTATACAGCTGGTGGCGTTAATGTGGTACTTGATTTGGTTGGAGATGAGGAGCGACGCCCTGCAGTGGCGCAGGCGCACTGCGCCGAAATCACAATTCTACTAATGACGCAGCTGCAGGCTGCTGATGAGATGGCTTTCATGCAATGCGCTGGACAAGAGTGTAGCGCCCTCGCTTTGTAGAGCCGACTCGGCTGCCGAGTCGGGTGTGTCTTTGTGCCCGTTAGACTCGTTTGGTAACTATACTCGCCCGAAAATAGCAGCAAAAAAGCAACAACAAAAAAACAAGAGCGCAACTGGTGCCGTGCATTAGGTAGTTACAACATTGCAGCGATGCAGGAGACAGCTTGGCGTTAGGCTGGGCAGAGGCCGTGATGACAAGCGCATGGCGAAGAGAGCACCGAACACTCTAAACTTTTGAATAGAAAATTGTCCTAGTAACTACTGACATTTTGTGCTGTCATGTATATTCTAAGGCTTGAAAATGTAATCGACACGTATGCTGGAGCAAGTGCCAGACCTTCACTCATTTGCTCTGGTTGCGGCCGCCTTGGCGGTAAGTGTCCGACGAATTCTGACGTGTTCGCCCCACCTTTGCAGCCATGCTGGAGCAGGAGCGCCAGCGGATAGAGCAGCTGACGGCGGGCTGGGACGACCCCACGGCCGCCTGGGGAGACGAGCCGGACGACGCCGCAGCCGGCGAGGCAGCGGAGGCGGCTGCGGAGGATAGGCCGCTGGGCATGGCGGGCAACGCGGGCGGGCCCACCTACAAGTGCATCGCGCTCTACTCCTACACGGTGAGCACGACGTAGCCGGGCGTAGCCTCGCGTGTCGACCCGACTAAACCAGAACTGCCTCTGGCTGTTTGTTATACTTATATTTGTGTCTTCTATTTTGTGACGAGCAGGCGCAGAACCCGGACGAGCTCACCATCGTGGAGAACGAGCAGCTGGAGGTGGTCGGCGAGGGCGACGGGGACGGGTGGCTGTGCGCGCGGAACTACCGCGGCGAGGAGGGCTTCGTGCCCAGCAATTACCTGGACGTGGATCGGGAGGCGTCGGGCGGCGGGCTGCAGGCAGGCGCCTCCAACTACCAGGTGAGCGAGGACGTTGTACACTCAAGCCGGGGTGTCCAGCAGGTTGGCGACAAAGTCGCCTGACCCGCAAAACTAGGCGACTTATGTCGACTATCTGCTATGGACACCTTCCATTCCTCCGGGTAATTGCATTGTGAGAGTCCATAGGCATTCCACCCATCGCATTCATGCAATTACCCGGGAGACCAGAAGGTGTCCAGCAGACAGTCGACGTAAGTCGCCTACCTGCTGGACATCCCGGATCCCGGATTTACAGCGTACGCACCAACGCCCCAACCCAGCAGCCACCTCATCCTATAAATTAGCCGTCTGCATCAATGTTCACTCCGATCGCCCCTCTCCTCGCCGGGGTGGTCCTTAATGGGCGAATTATGTCTAGGGGAGAAAGGTGAAAGGAAACGGGGGGTAAAAGGAATAGGTCGAAGAGGAGGAGAGAATACCGGGGCGGGGCGGGTCGAGGCGTGTGGTGCGGTGGGCGGCCCGCCGCCCCCACCCCTCCTCGCCCCCGGCGCGCCTTCCTCCCTGGAGATGACAACAAACTCCGGGGGCGGAACGAAGAGG